ATAATCATGTTAGTTGTTTTACGGACTTTTCTTAATTACATTATGATAGTAACTGACTTTTTTATTATTTTTATTTTTCAAAAACTTCCCCTATGGAAATTGTTCATTTGTTTGTTTAACAACAAAAAAAAAAAAAGGGAAAAATTTTATTTTATTTTACTATTAATTTCATTTTTAAGACCAAACATTTTGAACGGTTCGCTCCGGATCAATGGCATTTACTCTTGTGAGTTGTACGTTTGAATTTTACGGAACTCTTTTCCTCCCTCTCCCAATTAACCTTATAGATACTTACAAATTGTTCAAAAAAAAAAGAAAAGAAAGAACAAACATTTCAAAAAGTGCAGCCAAGAAAATCATTTTCAGTGAAGTGTATTCACGTGCATAAATGAAAAAGGCAGAAGATGTTAAGAGGAGCTGATGGAGAATGGGAAGAAGAACTGTTTTGGTTGAATTTGTCAGAAAGCACCGCAAAGCCATCGCCATCGGCAGACAAATATATAGGAGTTAGAATTAGAACTCCAATTATTATTAAAATAAAATGTGTTAACTGACAAAAGTTTAAAATTTCAAAATGAACAAATTGCAGGTCAAGTTGCTCGTCTGATTTCGACAGGGGTGCAAGCAAGCCTTTCGAAGTTAAATGTTAAAATCTGCCTCCTTAAAGAAATGTCAAACATGACTTGAGTACAGTAGAACATGTCCTCAGTTACAAACTTTTTTTTTATTTTTTAAGGTAAAACTTACAAAGATTTTTTTAATTTATGCCTTCAGGCATGAATTAAGATAAGAATATTTTTTTTATTATAAATAGATATAAAAAATTATAAAAATTAATATTAAATTTAGTGTCAGTGTCAAGTGAATTTAATTAAATAATTTATAATTTAATTAAATAATTAATAAATTAAATAATAATTTTTATTTTTTTAATACAAATTTATAATAAAAAATTATATTTAATATACACTTAACTTATACTCTAACTACATAGATTAAATAAACCCAACTTACAAATAAAGTGGAGGGCAGGTAAACTAGAGTTTCATAAGGATTGTGGTTGGAGTGTTTTTTTTTTTTTGTTCCTTTTTTTTTTAATTTTTTTTATTGTTTTTTTCTTTTTTTTTTTTTAAAATTTTTATTTTTCCGGACGTTTCCGTTAGTTTTTTATTATTTTTCCTTTTAAACTAAAAACATTATTTTAGAGTTTTTTAATTTTGACCCTATAATTTATTAGACAATTACAAAATTATCTACTAATATTTTATTTAATTAACCTAACCCTTAGTTTAGTTTATTCTTGAAAATTAGAAAACTCATTCCTTAACTCTTTGAATCTTCCTCCATGTTCGCATTAAATATTTTGATTTCATGTTACATTATTAAATCGTTTTTAGTAATTATACATCATATTATTTTTCAAAAATTTTGATTCGTAATTATTAATACTGACCATATATTATTCAAAGCACTTATAAAAAATAAATAACTAAATATTAAAAAGACTTTCAGCTATACTTATAATTATAACACTTCATAACAATTCTAAATGCACCCTTAATATGTTTTCACTATGAAAAAGGTTTAAAATAAGTAAAGCTTGTATAATTCATCGTCTAATATAAAAGAAACAAAAAGAGTATGTTTCCATTATAAGATAACAGCATGAGAGAGACTAGGCCTGACCTGTTGGTAGTTGGATTCTCCAAATTGATCAAAGACACAGGTCCAGTGCCGCGAATACAAAACTTCCATGATGGGCCTCACTTCTTTCATGGTTCGCACAGAATATAAAATGGCAATTTTCTCTACAAGAAAAATTTCCCATTACACTTTCCCAAAAAGCTATCACGAGGCTTCACACCTCTACAATATCCAATTCAAAGTAATACATGATCGATCAGTTCTTGTTTTGTCGTCCGAATTTACATGATTTGTAATGCTAACAAGTGAAATTCTCCGGTTAAAAAAAACTCCAGAACAAACAGTTAGGACTAAAAGAAACCTATACAACTCAAGAATGCTGTGTTTTCCCCTTTCTTCTGCTATTTTTTCATCCTTTCCTAGATGAGTTTTAATTTGTGTGATCAAACTTGAAGAAGGTTTTGTTAGGAAAATGAAGCTCTTTGAACACTTCCAGGTATCAAAGCTCGGATTTCATGCGATCAGCTGAGAATGATAGGAGAATGAGTTTAGTTAATGCAATGGAGAAAAGGTTCCAATTTGACTCTGAATAACCAGGTACTTACCATTTGGTCCTAAACTGTCCATAGCTGAACTGGAATCGAATCCCATTTGGAAAAGATTGTGTAGCTCATTGTCTAATGCAGTCTGTATGCACGAGGAAGAAAAGGAATTAAATCTGCATTTCAACATCTATTCATTTCAGACAGCTAGTATGCCAGAAAACTACTTTATTTACCTGAGGCAGTGGAGCAAACTGTGGACCTGTAACTGGGATAGTTGACATGGTTGCTGGAAAAACTCCAGTGGTGTAAGGGTGAGAGCAATTTATCCCAGGTCCAAATCCAAGAAAAGCTGCACTTCCACCTCGTGAATGAAGAATCTATAATGGAGAGAGGGCTAAGAATTCACTTTGCTTGCTCAAGATGGAAGTACTAAATTTCTCAATTTGTCTTAGAAAACCATACTTACATCCTTAGATAGAAGCCTCTCTAAATCAATGTTCAATTCTGGGTTGACAGTGGCAAGTTTCATTGACAAAAACTGCAAACAGGAAGTAAGTAAATCTTCACTGAGTTTATAACACTTAAAGCTTATGAGCAAATCATGAGAATTCAATTTTGGCCGAGAAAGATCAAGTTAATGCATCCTAAACCAGCATCTTGATAGATTTGGTAGCAGTTAAATTCCATCCAACTTAATATTTCATGTATAGTTTCATTGAGCGTATGTGTTTTTACAACAAGCTGCAAACAAATGCCTGAAATTAACAGTCACAGTAGCATACCTCAACCTGCTGTTGCAGCGATTGCACATAGTTAATAATCTCATCAAGCATAACAGCCTTCCCAGTAATCTAAAACAAGGGGCAAGCCAAGATAATCAGAATGGATGCTTATGTATTTCTCAAGAAAGAAGGATAAACTGCAAAACCAAGCCACTTCGTTTTACCTTATTACATCCTGGTACAAGTTCTTGAAGCATTCTCATTCTCTCACTAATCTTTTCTCTTCTGACCTGAAAGCCAAAAGATTTCCTAATTCAAGATGGATATAAGAACACAAATTTCTGGGATTTCAAACATCAAAACAAGAAGTTACCCTTTCTGCAAGGCTGTGACTATTAGTAGCCTGACCCCTTTTCGCTCTCACATGAATGTAATTTTCTCTAGGAGCATCTCCACTTTGAGAGCTGTCTTTTGTCTGTTTAGCAAGTTGCTTACCGCATGAATCTGCACCTATAGTTTGATCAATTTTCAATCTCTTCTCATCCAGTTCTTTTGGGGCATCAGAGCTATCTCCAGAAGGATTTTTCTGAGGCTCCCCTTCAGCATCCTACAACAAATAAAAAGGCTAATTTACCCATGATAATGCAATAAATCATTAACTTCTTAGTGATCAACACATGACAATATGAATAATTTACCTTGGAGGAATTGAGGGAAGAGTTCAACTCAGGCACTTGTTTTCTCCTCTTTCCATTAGGAGAAGCCCCTATAGCTCCCTCCTCTGAAACTTGGCGCTCCTCATGAGATTGTGCCCCATTTGTTAAAGTCCTTTCATTTCCCCCCTCCTGTTGGTTTGGAACAGGATTTGGAGGGAATCCACCATCCACAATCTGGCTGGACTGAGGTATGCCAAAGGAACCAACCATTTCTGAGAAATTTCCACTTCCAAAGCACTGAAGCTTTGGCACAAGCTCAACAAAGCTTGAATGAGACGGATACTGGGAGAAGTGGGAAGTACTACCAATTCCCTGGTTTTCCATTACAGCAGAGTATTGAGAATTTGGAAATTCACCCTGAGAAACCATCGAAGAGCCTCCAAAATTTTCACTGTGACTCAGTGAAGCCATTGAGTTTGGATCCCAGCCAGGACCAACGAAAGGGTCTGCACCGTTTGAAGGCTTATACATGGACATGGAACTCATTGCCATTCCTCCCACCTTCTCAGACAAGGAGCCTTTGTTCATCTGAGAAGATGAGCAATTCATGCTCCCATGCCTGTGTTGAAACCCCGCATCATTATTACCACCACCACCCATTCTTTAGATCAAAAGCTATACCCCAAATTGTATGGAACTGAGCTATCTATAACTGAAAATTCCAATTCAAAGCCCCAATCAATAGCCACCCTGGCCAAGAACCCTAAACAGTAAATCTATAACATCAGAGAAAAGTGAGTTTGACCAAAAATATAGGGGGTGAAAATGTTGCAGGAATGAATAAGGAACAAATAACCTAGGGAGCTTTATAGAATAGAGAGGTTGTTAAATCAAAAGTAAAGAAACCCCAAATTGCAGCATCCCAAGCACTCAAAGTAAAAGCAGAAATCCAATGTATCAGGCATAAAATCTATGGAACAACAGGTAATTATCTTTTCTTTTGAAAACCCTAGCTACGAGCCTTCTCTAGTGCAATGGAGAAAAGAAAAATGCTTCACACAGACAAGAAAGTGAACCTTTCAGAGTATAAAGTGGACAATAACAAAGGAATGGCATTAGCTAAGTAACAGCTCACCAGACTAACGAAAAAAGAAAGATGATTCCCTTTTTCTCCTTTAGCTTACATGAGAAACCAAAAACTTTCTCATTCTCCACTCAATTAAACAACAATGTGATTGATTGAATTGAAAATTGAAACCCCAATGGAAGAGGATGACCTCAAGCTTCAAACAATGAATGAAGACTAAAAGTGGGGATTGGAGAAGAATTATTGAGTAAATAAGCATATGATCAGATCAAGCTTTGATTCAAGATCCAGTGACCCCTCAATAACTAAGAAAAGGAAGTTCTTGAAAACCTTTTGAAATGTTGAGATGGGTGTCCCCCAAAAGACCAAAGAAGCATCGAATTCTACAGAAGCAATTCAAGAACTGAAATGGGGCACAGTATTCAGTGTGGCATAAATTGAGTGTTGGACAGTACCTTCGAGAGAATCAAATGCTAGCTTAAATTCGAGAAGAAACACCAAATTCACCAAATGGGTACTCGCACAAACAGCTAGAGAAGCATCAAATTCCAAACTTTATAGATTTCCAAGGCTAGAGTGAGAAAAAAAGCATGAAGAGAACCTGAGAAAGAAAGCTCTAAGCCTTCAGCTTTTCCTACTCTTACCTGCCCTGCCCAAGCCAACAGTATACATATATCATTTTAACAGACATACTAACTACTGCCAACTGCCTTGTTCCCAAATTATTACAGAACCTAAACTACTTTCCCTTGCGTTAAAAAAAGAACTCTTCTTTTTAATAGACAAAGTATTTAATTTTCATCGCAGATGAGATTTTTGAGAGGTTCTTCTCTTCGAGGCCAAGTTTGCTTGCTTCTTTAACATATACTTTCCCATTTTTACTGACACATTTGCCAACTATTCTAACAGCTCCTTCTCTCTCACCGCCAACTAACCTTGCTGCTTTCTTTTCATAACACCTCTATCATACATCTCCCCTCCATCATTCTCCATGATACCTAGGGGTGGAGAAAAACCGGTTTCAGTTATAACCGAAACCAATTTTAAAATAATCGATTTTTTTATTTATTTTTGATAACCGAAATCGAATCGAAAATTTTCATAGATCGATTAATTTGGTTATCAATAAAATCGGTTTGATTTTAATTTTTACTAAATAAATATTAATAAATTATTTTTTTAATAATATATTATATTTTATCTTATATTTTATTATATTTTATTATATTTATCATAATTTTAAATTTCAGAGGTTTATTTTTTATTTTTTATTTTAAAAAGATTCAACCAAAATCAAACAAAAAATTATTTAGTTAATATCAAAATTAAAACAATAAAAATTAAAAACCATTAAAATCAAACCAAATTTATTTTTTCGATTCAATTTTTAAGTAATCGTCGATTTGATTTCCAACTGTCTAACCCTAATGATACCCCATCCCTCAATCAACTTTTGTGGTCTTTTGATTTAACAGTATGGTTAGGTTTACGAAAAATAAATGAGGAAATTTTATTTTTTATTTAGCTAAATAGATAATTGTTTAAAAATAAAATAAAATTTTTTTACTTTTTTTTTATTATTTTTTTGTTTGGACCACCTAGTATTGGGAAGTCTATTGGCCATCAACTAATTTGAATTCGAACTGAGTAGGACCCAACGGATGGTAAAACTCTCCCTCATGAGTTTTAATAAAATTGTATTTTCAAAACTTAAAATCAAGACCTTTGGTTAAATTGAAAGAGTTCTTATTCATTCATTCATCCACTCAGGAGTTTCTTTTTTAATTATTTTGATAACTCAATAATAACTTTGTTTTTTCCTTTCTTCATTCCCCTTAACTCTATTATATTGTAATAGTATGGTACATTCAAATAGATTCACAAACATAAACTCTTAATTTAAATAAAAAAATACTTTACAATTTCAACTCTCTCACACTTCAATACACTTACTATAACTTTGCCAACGTACCCTTTTTGCATTTGGTTTGATGAGGCATGAACGGTCATGATTTAGATGATAGGGTAAGTGGGGAGTAGGGAATGGTTTCTTTTTTTATGCTTTTAATAGATTAATTTAATTAAATTAAGTGGTGCAGCAGAAATCTTTATCTTTTTAAAACTTTAGGGACTTTGGCTTATGAGAAACACAAGGAATAATGGAATCTAATCATGGATTTTTACCTTATTGTATTGGTACGGTTTCCAGCTGTAGCTCTGCTGCCTCAACCAACCCCAACCTGGTCAAACTAGCTTATCTGGTCAATCAAACTTCTGTTTCTCTGGGTTGTGATCTTGCTGGATCAATCTGACTCTTAACAGATTAATGGCCCTGATGAGTTATACCCTGCAGAACACCACACCGTAGGTATTATTCTGATTTTGAAACTAGTGTGTGAGGTTGATGTTGAGGTGTGAGATTGATGTGATATGATCTCCCCATTCTGTATGATTGTGGGGTGGGGACCCACGTGCGGGATTGAGTAGTCAAAAAATCAGCTCAGGTAGATATTATGATTGAGACGGTACACCTAACTTATCAGTGTGGGTACACACACCAAATCATTCTTCTGTGTACCAAATGAAAAAGTGGAGCCAGCAAACTCCTTCTGGACAGATGCAGCAGTTCTTCTGATTTACCATAATTGTTATGGCGAATCCAATAATAATATAATTTTTTAAAAGTTTTTTTAACGCATATTTTTTTAAATATAAATTATAAGTATAGTAAATTATTTTTATTATAAATTTATATTAAAATTTTTAATATTTAATTTATTATATCTTTAATTAATTTTATTTATATCATAATAATGTTAAGATTAATGTTAATTTTTATATTAATAATAAAAAAATACTCTTAATTTATGTTTTAAAGATATGAATTAATTTTTTTTTCAATTATAACGTAATAAAATCAAATAAATTAGATACAATTACAATATTTAGTAATGTTATAGTTATAATACAATTAATAATTATAAATTTATAATCATATCATACATTAAATTAGTATAAAGCCTACTTAAATAAATAAATAAATATAATATTACACATAAAACTTTCAAGTAAAAATTAATTATATAATAACATTCATACTAATAAGAATTTTATGAAATTAGAATATATTAATTTAAATATCTTGATTTAATATCAAAATTATATTTTTAAATCTCTATACTATCAACT